CAAATGTTTGAATAAAACTGGGTCTTTTTCTCTTTTGAACTTACCAAACTTCTGTGTACTCATTTCGTGTCCAATAACAACACTCTGGCACCTGGACAGACAGCCCTGACACCCAGACAGACAGCCCTGACACCCGGACAGACAGACAGCCCTGACACCTGGACAGACAGACAGCCCTGGCACCAGGACAGACAGCCCCTGCACCTGGACAATCTCTCCCTGCTGCTCTTCCAGAACCAGCCCAGCCCTTCCCATGTGTGTTTGCAAAACCTTCACCCAAAAAACAGATCTCAGTCGGTGCCTGGAACTGCTTGAATCCCTGCCTGGCACATTTGTGGCACCTCCCAGGCCCTGCCTGCTTAAATTCATTTTCCTGCCAATTTCTCTATGGCCAAACATTCCTTTTATTTTGAGTGTTCACCTCAGCATGAGGGGAGAGCCGTGCACTGAAACGTCTTTTAATCCCCTGGTATCACCATGGTGTCCCTCCTGCCAGCACCACAGCTTTCACATGAAAATCAGATCTTCAAAAATATTGTACTTGAAGTTAATCACCACAGAAATGTGTCAATGGTGTGAAGAAATCCAGTTTTGCACTCAAAGCTGCTTTTTGTTTAAAGAAATGGTGGTTAAAAAACATTTACTATAAATGCTTGAAAGTCAAAGACAACACTTCACAGATCTAAAGATACTTTTAATTGATGATTTACAAAAAAAGCCTAGATTTTGGCCTTTGGTTTTAATTTGCAGCAGGTAACTGTTGAATGAGAATCAGAATCCCAGAATGTGGCAGGGACACCTCCCACTGTCCCAGCTGCTCCAGCCCCGGTGTCCAGCCTGGCCTTGGGCACTGCCAGGGATCCAGGGGCAGCCACAGCTGCTCTGGGAATTCCATCCTGTGCCAGGGCTGCCCACCCTGCCAGGGAACAATTCCCAATTCCCAATCTCCCATCCATCCTGCCCCTGGCAGTGGGAGCCATTCCCGAGTCCTGTCCCCCATCCCTTGTCCAAAGCTCCCCCAGCTTTCAGAGAGGCAGAACTGACTCCCTGGAAGGCCTGGATGTGATTTTCAGGATGGCAGGAGTTATCTCCCATCGACCTCAATTAGTTATTCATAGGTTCATTAGCTCCAGCCTCACTCTAATTGTTCATCTGTGGATCACAGCACACTGGCAGCCCTGAGATTAAACCTTGCTGTGACATTTCAGTGTTAATATTTACATTACCACCCTGCCAAGCCCTCATTAACCAACACTGCCTTTTCCCTGAGCTCCAGCCATTGCTTCCCTAACCAGCAATTTTCACATGTTACTGAACTCCAGCATGAATTATTTACTACGTACACATGTTTTCAGGCAGCACCATTAGAAGATCATTTGGAGATGTGTTAAATCATAAAATTTGTCTGCTCTTAAGAACCACATCCCACCAAAGTCCCACAGGGTAAATGCAGAGCATGAAAAGGCTCAGAATGTTTGATGCAAACAGGTCCCCTGCCCCTGCTTGAGTATCCCAATACAGTCTGTCAGTGTCCTTGAACTCCATCACCCAAATTTAAGTTCAGGACGCATTTGCAGACCCTTGAGAAGAACAGTGCCACGGCCCTGAGGTGCTCAGCAGCCAGCACTGTCCATCAGCATGTCACCATAGAAGGTTTTGTTTCTTACCTTAGGAATTCTTGTCATTTTTTTCCTTTGCTTCCTGAACCTTAGCAGCTTATCACGTTCCTGCAAGAGTCAGAGACACGTGTTGGCTGTTTTCAGAGAGCAGGGATTGGAATTAACCACATCAGCACAAGGAGCCACTGGGGAAACAACAGACAGGCTGTCCCTGCTGGCCACTGTCCCACACTGTCACCACTCCCAGGTTATTTACTCCAACATCTTTCAGGTTAGCCACAGACAGCTAGAAATTGCTCTGTATGTCCATGAAAATCCAACTAAAATAAGCGGATGGTAAGGTTCATGCTGAGAGTTTGGGTGTCCCCCTGGAGCTGCTCCCTGGGTGACCATGGCCCTGCAGCCCTTGCCCTGCTCCTGCCCCTGTCCTGGTGGCTCTTGGTGGCTCTGGAAGGGGCACACACCCCACAGCCCCACAGCCCCACTGCCCCAGTCCCCAGTGCCCCAGTGCCCCACTGCACAGCCTCTTTGAACTCTGCACTTCCAGGCTCAGCTCCTTCTCCAAGCCTCTGCAGGTTTCCTGTGCCTCTGGAGTAACCCAGTGCCCCAGTGCCCCACTGCACAGCCTCTTTGAACTCTGCACTTCCAGGCTCAGCTCCTTCTCCAAGCCTCTGCAGGTTTCCTGTGCCTCTGGAGTAAGGTTTGAGCCTTTACTGCTGACAACAATTTGTTTTCAATTTTTCCAATCGAAGGAAATAATAGAATAATAAAATTCCAGGTGGGAGGGAGCTTAAATATCACCTCCTTTTACCCCTGCCATGGCAGGGACACCTTCCACTGTCCCAGGTGACTCCAAGCCCCATCCAAGCTGGCCTTGGGCACTGCCAGGGACCCAGGGGTGCCACAGCTGCTCTGGGCACCTTTGCCAGGGCTGCCCACCCTGCCAGGGAAGAATTTCTTCCTTTTTGTGGTATTAGGTTGGTTTTTTACAGCACACAGAGAAAAGTCTCTGTTCTGGACGTGTAAAGCCAGGACTGCAGAGAGGGAAGCTCTGAAGGGAAGCCCTCAGATGTCCCATTTTGCCCTCTGGGTACAAGGATGTGGTGACCTTGGGGACACTGCCAGGGGCTGCTGCTCAGCCTGGTGGCCAGTCCCGGGCCAGCAGCAGGGACAATCGAACTGGCTGCCTGGCATGGGAACAGCACATCCCATCGATACCCATCAGTGGTGGACCCCAAACACCCCTGCCCACCACAGCACAGGCATGGGGCGGGCAAGGGCAGCGCTGAGCACGCCCTGGAGTGGGTCACACAAAGCCAGGGCTGGCCAGAGTGACAAAATGCAGTTCCAAAGGGACAGAGCTGCCCTGGAGATGGGGACACTTGCCCTCAGCCATTGGGGCAGGGCATGGGATTAAAGCTTTCCTCCCCACCATCACTGTGCTTTTCTCTGGTGAGCAAGTGTTGATAAAAAAATCTCCTCTGAGGAAACCTCTGGGTCAGCTCACTGTTGAACACAGATGGAAGGGAGAATAAATATTATTGTACCCTGCCTGCTTTCCATGAACAGCAATTTAAAGCACATATAGATGAGGAGGAAGATAATGTCACTCTTACCATGACACTCTTCACATAGCCAGCAGTCTCCAGGGTCTAATGAAAAAGAATAAAATAATGTCAGTAACTGGACAGGCTTAGAAAGAAGGGGAAGAAATAAAAGTTATTTTCTAGAGGAGTATCATGGTTTTGGTGGTTTTTGTTTCCAAGGACAGAGAACATGTAAAAAATGAAGCAGAACCCCAAGCCCAGGACTGCAGACCCCTCCCTGCACACAGGAACCTTCAGCCCCAGTGGTGAGTCCAGCTGAAGGAGCTGAAGTTTCCCTCCCAGCTCTGGCCACCAGCACATGCAAAGACATGGTTCTATCAGGCCAGGCCAATGCAGACTGAAAGGGTTTTCCCAAACACCACACCACAGATATTTTCTATTACTACTAAGCACAGAAATGCCTGCCAGGTTCCCCTGCTGCCCATCAGCTCCCAGAACCTCGAGCACCCCTTCCTTGGGTTTCCTCTGCTCTGCCCTTGGGCGCTCTCAGGTGAGAACAGCAGCCTTCCATCGTACCTTGGAGAGCTCATCAATGATGTTCTGCTGCTCAATAACTTGTAGTCTCAGGAAATCCACTTCCCTTTCTTCCTGGCTGTGGTCAAGGTCATTTAGGGAGCTTGGTCTCCTTATCGCTCCAGTTCTTTGCCTCTAGAATCCAAAAACCACAGGGCAGAGGAGGAAATGATCAGGAGGCTTTGCCAGGGACTTGTCTGGCCCCTCCCTTTCCAGCAAGTAAAACCATCTCTGTAATGGTTTCCTGGCAGCTCTCCTGCTCCCCATCTGCTGATCCTCACGTCCGGGCTCCAAACGTGCCAGCTGGTCCTGCTCCTCCAGCTGGAAGAAGGGGCAGGGTCCCAGGGGCAGACTTCCCAGGAATTGTGAGGTGATTCTGGCAGGAAAGCTGAAGCTGAGCCATGAATGCCAGATTAGTTTAGGTTGGAAGGGGCCTTGCCAGAATGGAAGAGTTTCCCATGGAACCTGCGGGTGTGGGCCAGTGCCCGACTCCCTGAGCCCCACCAGCTCCACATCCCACCAGCTCCCAGGAGCACAGACACTCACCATGGCAATATTTTCCTGTGTCACAAATTTCAGTTTATTTTCCATTCGACGTAAGGCATGTGACAACTCCTCATTCTTCCTACTGAGGCGTTTGTTTTTGTCCAAAATGGGCTTATACTGACTTTCTGCTTCTCTGAGACGCTTCAACTGAAAGATAAAGAGAAAAATAACACCTCTGGAGTTTTTTCATCAAATATATTAACTGCTTTCTGTAACAATCCCAGTAGAAGTATTTTCTCCTGATGCAAAGCTGAACTGATCAAAACCTCTTGGGATTCCCCACTGGGGAGAGACCATTCCCACAAGAGAAGATATTCTGCCTGCGTAGCAAACATTCAGCGTGGGGAATGTACTTATTTTTAAAAATAAATACATACAATTTGAGTTAATGCCACCTTAGAAATCCATCATTTCCCAAGCCCAGAGGGGAGCGCCGCAGCAAAGCCCGAGCAGAGGAGGAGCAGCCCCTCATTTCCAGGCAGCACGGGAGCAAATCCCGGGGTGTTCCCGGGACAGGGCAGCACGGGAGCAATCCCGGGGTGTTCCCGGGACAGGGCAGCACGGGAACAATCCCGGGGTGTTCCCGGGACAGGGCAGCACGGGAGCAATGCCGGGATGTTCCCGGGACAGGGCAGCACGGGA